TGCCTGACCTCAAGCCAAAGCGCAAGCCCAATGGTACAGCTCCCCTCTCCCCTCATACCCTACAAAGAAACGCCTCGCCTTCGACGCAGGACCCAACGCGGTGGAGCAGTCCTGCCACAAGCACGGGCTTCGCCCTTCTGCCGCGCGGAGCCTAACCCTTCCCACCCCCCCCCCCTGAACAAACGGGCCAAAATGTCGTGCCGTCGTCACGCCTCCGTTAGGATTAGTCTGCCTCCCGATCCCACGGTTATAGAAACCACTAACCCGCACGAGCTGACGCCATGGATGGACTCTCACGAAATGCACGCCCTCAAGGCTTGTGCTGAGCGGGAAGCCTCCTGTAACAGGTGGACGTGCAAGTTCAGTGAAGATGCTGGAAGAAGATACTGGAGTGCCACGATGCCATACAATGGTGTTCGCTGGGTGACACTGCAATGCACTGGTGGCGCCCTTTTGCTGGATATACGAATTCCGGAGGATGATGTAGCTGGACGAGGGTGCTCGAATATCAATGACGCCTGTTATGCTGGAATGTTCATGCCTGGGAGCGAAGCCTTCTGCAAAAGGCGAAACGCCATTGTTGTCTGATGGCATTGCAACTTCATTGGGTGCAAAGCGCTTGGGAGAGAGATGTTTGCATTCTCTGCATGTCAGAAAACACTGTACAAGGATGAGCGCACTCTGGAGTATAAGACTGAAAAGAAGGCGGGCTCAACACAAATATCTGGATGTGACTGCGGAATCTGCACAAGGCCACTGCTATGCATGAATTTGCTGCATGACGACTTGAGGAGGCCTACAGCGAATAGCACAAGTCCATGTTGGTGTGGAGTGAATGCAGGATGATGCCTGCAATGCCAATGAATTCTGAATTTGCTGCATGTCAGACAAGACGAAGCATGCGCACAGTCTGGAAGGTCACATAGGCAACGCCGGGACTTTACGAAGCCATAGCTCCTGGACGATGCTGCGTGAGATGTGTGTCTGGACTGGTTGCGTGCAGGTGCATGATGACACGTTTTGCAAGAGAATTTACAGAATGGATGAGTTTTGCATGACTTGGTCAACAAGGTGGCAGTCGATAATGGCTATGCCTAGGCATGCCATGCGCCTCCGGTGCATGTGCATGCCTTCGTGAAGGGCCACTGTGGATGTACCTCTGAAGTGGCGGTCGGATCGCGGTCGTGGGAGGTTGTGAGAGATCGAAGGAAGTCACGTGACATGTTGATGTGTTGGGTAATTAGAGTG